TGGGTGAAACTCGAAGAAACATCAATAAGTATTTTAGGATACGCAGATGATATAGTGTTTTTAGGAAATAATATAAATACAGTGAAAAGTCTGTGTGAAAGACTTATAACCGCAGCGAGAAAAGTTGGATTGCAAATTAATGAAGAGAAAACAGAATATATGGAAATAAGTAGACAACGGTACGGAAGACAAGCCGAAGAGTTTCTAAAGGAAGGACCTTATAGTTTCAAAAATATATCCCAATTTCAATATTTGAGTACAATGATCACCCATTCAAACAATTTGGAGTATAAAATACTTAAAAGAATCCAAATGGNGTACAATGATCACCCATTCAAACAATATGGAGTATGAAATACTTAAAAGAATCCAAATGGGTAACAAGTGTTATTACGCAATGGGGAACTTACTCAAGTCAAGAATTCTCTCAAAAACACTTAAAGTTCAGCTGTATGTCACACTAATAAGATCAACAGTACTTTATGGAGCGCAATGTTGGACTGTAAGGAAAAATTATGAGTCAAAACCGAGGATCTTTGAAAGGAAAATATTAAGAAGGATTTATGGACCATATCTAGACCCACAAACAGGTGAATGGCGTAAAAGACACAATGAGGAGTTATATGACTAATATAACAGACCGGATATAGTAAAGGAGATAAAAAGAAAAAGATTGGAATGGGCAGGTCATGTGTGGAGGAAACCTGATGCTATGACAAAGACGGTCTTACAAGAGAATTCAAGAGGGAAAAGACCACTAGGAAGACCCAGAATGCGATGGGAGGACTGTGTCAAAAAAGATGTAACAGTTTTCTACCCGGAGGAAGATTGGCATATACTAACACAAAATCGTGAAGAATGGAGGCAATTATGTTTGGATGTGTGGTCTAAAAGGCCGTAAACAAAAAAAAAAAGTATTTTCCGATGAATTTTTAAACATACACTATACTATAATATACAGCATATTATATAACTGAATGATTCTTTCTTATTTTATGTATTCGAAGCGAAGCGAGAAATATATTTCATGTACGACAATTTTATTTTATTTTTTTTGTATCCATTTTACCTAAACAAGGAAAAAACAAATGCATTTTGGATGTACCTAGACACCCAAGCCATCGCTACCTCGGAAAATTTCAATCTCGCAAAATTCCTCTTTATTTGTTATGCAAACTTTTCTACCAAAAATTTTGCTCCGATGTATCAAGTGTAGCTTATTTTCTGAACGAAAATTTTATCTCCATAGTAACTTAAGGAGGTAATTTTTTTGATTTTTCAAGCAGTTTTCATATTATCTGGGAAAAACCGGGATAAAATGTTGGAAAAACGGAAATTGCACGAAATTTAGGTATTAGTGAAAAATATTTCGGCCTTCTTATTTCTTATGATCTTTTCTACCAGCAGATTTGCTCCGATTTACAATGATAGTACTTTTTCTGAAATTAAATCTGACTTGGAAGGTACTTCAAGGAGGTCATTTTTCGATTTTCCCAAAAGTTTTCCCAGTAAATATAAAAAACCGGGGGAAAAGATGGAAAAACTGGGAAAAACGGGAAAATCAAACAAATATTATTAAAGAAAATATATAAAGCCTATTTAATTAATTTACCATAATATGATATATATATATTGTTGACAAAGTATCACTATCAACTGAACTGCACTCAGAATCATTTTTTCGTTAGATATGGTTTATCGTTGCTTACAGATATATATTAAATTACCTATAACAGTAGCAGCACCCATCTCCATTATCCTAGGACGTCTTTTTTTTGTTGTAATTTAATTTAAAATATTCATCTTAGAGACTTGAAATTTAAACAGAAACTTTCTATTTTATTTTTATAGACGTTATACAATTTTCAAAATATTTAAGTCATTTATAAGCTATTTATAGACATTTTAATTTTGCTAGTTTTTACGTAGTGTTTATTTGGCGGATAAAATTTTTAGACCAAACAGAAATGTTTTACAATTTAACAGGAGGTTCATTATACGTTGAACTTAGTGATCAACAAGAAAAGTTGAGTTTAATGTATTTTTTTTTTTTTTGTGTATGATAATATTAATATAAAATTTTTAAGAAAATCGTAAATATTACGGCCTTTTAAAAAATGTATAGTTGAACTTCGCTCAGAATCGTTTTTCGTTAGCAATGATTAATTGTTGCGTACACATACCTGTATTTTATTAAATTCCCTTCTATATTCTACCTTTCCAATTTTTCACCTACAACAGTCACCCATCGTACGGTCTGTCCTTTTAAAGTTCCAAGTTACTGTCGAAAAAAATCAAAAAAAAACTATATACCTATAGTATCTCACCACGATGTCCCAGTAAATAACTTTTATTTCTATGGAATATTTTAAAAATCT